GAGGGGAGAGTACCGCTCTACTCAGTGCTGGTTAGGCCTCAGCTGGAGTACTGTGCCCAATTTTGGTAACAAATATATAGAACAGATGTAGAGAAAACGGAAAGGATCCAAAGGTGAGCGACAAAGATGATCAAAGGGATGGAATGCAAGCCCTATAAGCAAAGGCTCAAGGAACTGGATATGTTTAGTCTGGAAAAGAGGAAATTAAGAGGACACATGACAGCAGTCTTCAGATACTTGAAAGGCTGCCATAAAAAAGATGGAGGAAAGTTGTTCTCTTTTACCACTGAAGCCAGAACAAGACGCAGTGGGTTCAAACTAAGGCATTTAGATTAAATCTCAGGAAAAATTTCCTAACTGTAAAGAACAGTAGGACAATGGAACAGACTGCCTCGGGAGGTTGTGGAAGCTTCCTCACCGGAGGTTTTCAAAAGAAGGCTTGATAGTCATCTCTCTTGGATGGTTCAGACACAACAAATCCTGCATCTTGGCAGAGGGTTAGACTAGATGACTGTTGTGGTCCCTTCTAATCCTATGATTCAATAGAAGTAGTCAAGTGAATGGTCCTCCGACTGGGAAAGCATGCAGGAGTACACTTCAGTTCCCCCAGCCTAACCAGATCAACTTACCAGTTCAGTGATGGTGTCTACTGCCCTAGATGGTCCTTCTTTCAGCAACTATATTACTGTGGCGAAGAGCATGATTAGAAAAGCTTAAGAAAAAGGGATCAAAGTACATCCACAGTTCCAACTTTGACTGGGCAATTAGTGAGGTTACCATATCACAGACTGTGTCAAAAGCCTTGCTGTATCCAAGTATCCAACCTTTCCGATTCTTCTGACAGATCACAGCAAACTAACTCAAAAAACCAACCATTACACGTAAATAAACAAAGAGCAGAAGAGATGTATAGATGTGTAAACATCCTCCTTTTCCTCCTTGATTGAGAGTGAAGAAGGAGTGTCACTGTGGTGCTGCCATTATCAAAGTACAGTTTCAAACACTACTACATTAATGTGCACTAGGAAACTTAGTGCACGCCAGCAGGGTCCACACAGTCCAGTTAGTGTAGGACATATTAATGTGCACTCGAATTTACTCCCCTCTGGTGTGGACTAAAGTACTGTGTAGACAAGCCCTCAGTAATAACTATAGATTACTCAATAAAATCATAACACTTAGCGAGTGCCATGTCAATCTCCCAAGTATGAAATGATCGCTGTATTTTCCCTAGAATTAGCTCCTTACCCAAAAGCAAAAAAACTGCTTTTTAAGGTCTTAAAGAACATGCAAATGTTGAGGTAGTAATCACTTGTTGAACCCAGACAAGATATTCATACAGCTTCATATGGCTTCCATCACTGTAGAATCTGAACAACTAGCAATCTTTAATGTACATCCTCACAACCCCCTCGGGGTGAGATATGGGGAGTCGAGGCACAGAGAGATTATAGCTGAAATTTTCAAAAGGGGCCAAGGGATTTAGGTGCCCAGCTGCCAGTGATGGCTACTGCAAATTGGAAGCCTCATTTCCTAAGGGCCCTTTGAAAATTGTAGCCTGAATGGCATTCCCAATTTGACACAGGGAGTCTGTGGCAGAATCAGGAACTGAACCAAGATTTCACGAGTCCCAGTCCCATGCATTAACATTTTTTCCCTTTCCCAACTCCCCAAAGTCTGTCCATAATTAGGACTTTTTAAAATCATCATCAGCCATCAAGTCTACCTGATATAGTGGAAGTCCACCAAGTCTTAACTCCCACCGTCTTACTCCCATTCCTACTCAGACAGACCTCTATTGGTCAATTTCTGACCCCACTGAACTCAATGGGAGTTTTCCATTGACTTCCATAGTCTAAGACTTCAGCCTCGGACTTCAATAGGCCTTGCGTGGATGACAAGCAACAGTATTTTGTGATAAATCACTAAGTAACATAAAAGATTACTTGTTTCGCCACTATATTTAAACAGTGCCAGAGACTCATTCAGGGAAACATTACAGATTTTCAATAACAGAGAAAAATATATTATTAGAGGGCTTTAATGACTGTTGTAAATAGCATTTCTTTCTCTCACCAAAATTTATTCATATGTATAATAAAGCCAAGTCTATGTTTTTTGTTAATGTTTTCCAAGCAGTATATTTTCATCTAGAAAGTCATCAGAATAAAATGGTATTGGTGAAACTTTAGTAAATAGGGGGAAAGTAATTAAAATTTCCCTTTTAAAGATAAAAATATAGAGTTTTTGAAGCTTAATTACATAGCTAAAACCAATACAATAACATATCTGTAATTTGCTTAAGCCATTATTGATTCAAATCAATGACTGAATACTGTTGCCCTGATAAGATTCACATCTAACATTTTTTAAGTTTCACAAATAGTTCACATGGTACATTTACAAATAAATCAATTAATATTGTCTGAAAGACCAATATATGCACAATATGAAAAACAGTTTTAGCTGTTTTATGCTCTCCACAGAACAGCTTTACCCTCTGATTAATTTTAATTTACTTTAAAGGATTTCATTGGACTGAAACTTTAATTAAAAAAGAAATGGAAAAGTCTATAAGGTCTGCATAGCATCAATTACTTTGACTTGATATCTTGCACTTCAACTACCCTTTGTACATATGGTTCCTGTTGAAATAATTGAAAAGTACTTCTGAACAATGTCACCCACACATCCACACTAAGAGCTAGAGGATATATTAACATTAAACTTCACTAATATTAATAAAGAAACAATTAATTCTTCATTATCTGTTTCTAAAATACATCATCAAACTCCTTCAGTTCAAACACAAATAAAACATTACATATGCCTGTCAGTGTAAAGGGTAATTATCATCATCATTATAATTTATACTGCTTTGTTATAAGTCTAATGTCTCATTTATTTATAAAGCTTCCTGGCTGCCATTTAAATAACCTCTCTGAAATATTAAAATATAATCTGGCTGTTACTAAGAAAACTCCCACATCCTCCCTCAACTACACCCTTGTAAAATGTTGCCTCTAATTTACATTACACTTTCCTTAAAGGAACAGGCATCATTTACATTTCCATATTATAGTGCACCAGTAAAACATACTAAAACAATATTTTCTGTTAATTTATCTATAAAACATACATGCAGTGGGCTAAATTCAATCCCAATAAACGTGGCCATTAAAAAAAAATCAATAGAATAAGGGATAATTGTGAGATACTCAAAGAAGTTGCCCCATGGACCAATTATAAAGGGCCAGATTCAAAGACCACTGAAGACAGAGAAGAGACTCCCGCTCACCTCCAATAGTGGTTTTGGATCAGGCAAAAAAAACAAAAACAAAAAACAAAAAAAAACCCTCAATATTTTAATTATTAAAAAAGGAACTTTCACAACCTTTGCCTACTCTAACTATTACCAGATTACAAGCCTCTGAAGTGTATCTGGCACATTGCCTGGCATGTTTATTGCTATTTATAAATTAGGCACTTGTGTAAGAATGCAAATTTTATGCATCTTTGACTAAATGAGCCTGTTAAGAGATGACCAGATATCCTTTTTATGGGACTGCTAAATAATTATATTACAACGATAGATTATGAATGAAACACTAAAGAAGAAAATTGTTACAAATAATATTAAATATATTTTGTCAAAACTTTTCAACCCAAAATATAGAAAAATAATGTTACCAATGCTATGCCTGCCAAGAATAATTCCCGAGATCTATGTACAAGAGTAATAAAAAATATAAATCTACAGTACCTCTATTAATCCTGGTAATATGGTACTAGCAATTATTTTTGTATTTTACATCCATAAGTTAAAATATGCTCCCAATGTCTACTGTAGTGGTCATTAAAGTTTCCCCTGCCTCAATCAGCATAACTAATGATGCCATATAATGACAGAATACAGTCTCTAATGAAAAGCTGAAGAAAGTCTCCTTGCAGCAATACTGTTCGTGATTTAGTATTCTGAACTTGTTCAGTCCAACATATTTTATTCTGTGGACATTATCACCTCTCAGAAAATTACATTTCAATGAACTTGTCAAGAAAAAAGTAATGAAATAACCAGGCAACGTAAATCAATTACAGTCGTTTGTTGTGTGTTATTCTTTTAGGGCCTAACCCTGGAAATGATACTAGCTGTAGTACTTACTACGATGGTGAGTCCCACTGGGTTTAATGGGACTACAGCTGGCAACAAACACTACTACTGTACTAGAGGTAGAGGTGAAATCCTGACAATGTTCAAGTAAATGGGAGTTTTGCCATTGATGTCAATAGAGACAAGATTTCACCCTAAGCATTCTGTAGATTGGGCCCTTGGTTTTCTGTGTTTATTTGCTAGAACGTCGTTACATTTAAAATAGAGATGCCCTGTGACAATCACATTTTCGTGAACAAATTCACTGCTCAGACTTTCAGGGTGATAGCCTATCATTTTTCTATATGTACAAATACTGTTGCCATCAATGAAAGTCCAGTGTAAATATCAAGGGTGGAATATGATGTAATGAATGCACATATTCCAACAATCTGTTCCCCATGCGATAATGAAAAGCCAGTGCCACATCCCATGCTAGCAAATGATTAGTAACTTGAATTGGTCAGAAGAACAAGATGCAGTTCCCTATCTTGTTTCATCAGCAGAGGATGAGTACACAATTATTTAAGGAACAGTATCTAGATTTTCAAAGGTATTTAGGCATCTAGAGACTCCAGTGCCTAATGAGATTTTCAAAGGTGCCTAAGCAGGTTAGGGACTTAACTCATACTGAAATAAATTCAACGGGAACAAGCCACTTACCTGCAGAGACATTTTTACAAATCATCCTAGGCGCTTACCTGTACCTTTAAGCACCTAAATCTCTTTCAAAATCTGACCCAGTCTCCCTCCCTCACCCAAATCCATCTTTTTTCACAGACAAAGCAAGCACATTAAGTCCCATTTTCAGAAGCACCTACGTGACTTAGAGCCTACATCCCACTGAAAGTTAGAGGAACTTAACTCCTAAGTCACCTAGGCTCTCTTTAAAAAATTTCCCACGGTCTCTAACACTGCCAGTCTCAGAACCAATATCTTCGGATAAAATTTAATGAAAAAAGTTTTACCGCTTTTTACTACTATGAGCACTGCAGAGTCAACAATCAGATAGAGTGAGCAGCAGTCTATTTTCTTCTTGTGTTTCAACAGACTAGTTCGAAGACCACAGCTTATGCGTTAGCAAGTGAGACCAGCTATTATTGGTGTTATGTCTACTAACATGATCAGCAATGAAATAAATTAACAATATTGCCATATGAATTTTCATCCAAAGGCTTCAGATTTAACCCTTAGATGATCGGGGCAATTTAAATATCTCACAGCTACAGCTTCCGACTGTCTGAAGTTTCAGTAACTTACAACACTGCATTACTTACAATACAATACTACATTTGGTTTACATTTAGTTTACAGTTTTATGGTTATCTTCATAAATACAGAAGCTAGAAAGATTTACAAAAAAATAAATAAAGCTTAAAGTCTGAAGCACCATTCTATGGGAAAATGTGGGATTCCATAGCAAATTCTACAGCTGCAGAATCAGAAAATACACAGGGCTCCGGAAAAGGCAGATATAATTGACTAGATGCATAACAGTGGGACAGACAAGATTCAATCTCAAAATAATGTAAGTATTTCCTTATTTAGCTCTTGCCCAGGCAATCAGACATTTTTTGTGCATCTATCAGACTACAGACTACCTTACAAGAGAGGACTCCTTAGTCTATGCCCTTTTGAGTGAAAATCCAAAGCAGGTTAGGCTCTAGGAATTCTTTTTTCACTACCTCTTCTTAAAGGTTGAAAGACTCTTTGAACAGTCTGCATGAAATTCCCAAATAGCAGTTTAAGTCTTAAGTAATCTAATCAAAAACAAGATTATTAAACCAGATCAAAACATGAGAAACTGTTTGTATAACGTATGTAATCTTATATTTGGCATAAAATAAGATAGATAGGTGCAGTACACATTAAGGTCAAGTCTACATGGGGACACTCAAGAAACTTAAGGCAAATCAACTAAGGGTAGGTCTACACTACGGAATAAGGTCGAATTTATAGAAGTCGGTTTTTTAGAAATTGGCTTTATATATTCGAGTGTGTGCGTCCCCACAGAAAATGCTCTAAGTACATTAAGTGCATTAACTCGGCGGAGTGCTTCCACAGTACCGAAGCTAGAGTCGACTTCCGGAGCGTTGCACTGTGGGCAACTATCCCACAGTTCCCGCAGTCTCCGCTGCCCATTGGAATTCTGGGTTGAGATCCCAATGTCTGATGGGGCTAAAACATTGTCGCGGGTGGTTCTGGGTACATATCGTCAGGCCCCCGTTCCCTCCCTCCCTCCGTAAAAGCAGCAACAGACAATTGTTTCACGCCTTTTTTCCTGAGTTACCTGTGCAGACGCCATACGACGGCAAGCATGGAGCCCGCTCAGGTAACCGTCACCCTATGTCTCCTGAGTGCTGGCAGACGTGGTACGGCATTGCTACACAGTAGCAGCAACCCATTGCCTTCTGGCAGCAGACGGTGCAATATGACTGGTAGCCGTCATCGTCGTGTCCGAGGTGCTCCTGGCCACGTCGGCCGGGAGCGCCTGGGCAGACATGGGCACAAGGACTAAATTTGGAGTGACTTGACCAGGTCATTCTCTTTAGTCCTGCAGTCAGTCCTATTGAACCGTCTTATGGTGAGCAGGCAGGCGATACGGATTGCTAGCAGTCGTACTGTACCATCTTCTGCCGGGCAGGCAAGAGATGAGGATGGTTAGCAGTCGTATTGTACCATCTTCTGCCGGGCAGGCAAGAGATGAGGATGGCTAGCAGTCCTACTGTACCATCTTCTGCCGAGCAGCCATGAGATGTGGATGGCATGCAGTCCTTCTGCACCGTCTGCTGCCAGCCAAAGATGTAAAAGATAGATGGAGTGGATCAAAACAAGAAATAGACCAGATTTGTTTTGTACTCATTTGCTTCCCCCCTCCCCTGTCTAGGGGACTCATTCTTCTAGGTCACACTGCAGTCACTCACAGAGAAGGTGCAGCGAGGTAAATCTAGCCATGTATAAATCAGAGGCCAGGCTAACCTCCTTGTTCCAATAAGAAAAATAACTTAGGTGCACCATTTCTTATTGGAACCCTTCGTGAAGTCCTGCCTGAAATACTCCTTGATGTAAAGCCACCCCCTTTGTTGATTTTAGCTCCCTGAAGCTAACCCTGTAAGCCATGTCGCCAGTGGCCCCTCCCTCAGTCAGAGCAACGGCAGACAATCGTTCCGTGCCTTTTTTCTGTGCGGACGCCATACCAAGGCAAGCATGGAGGCTGCTCGGCTCACTTTGGCCATTAGGAGCACATTAAACACCACACGCATTATCCAGCAGTATATGCAGCACGGGAACCTGGCAAAGCGATACCGGGCGAGGAGGCGACGTCAGCGCGGTCACGTGAGTGATCAGAACATGGACACAGATTTCTCTGAAAGCATGGACCCTGCCAATGCATGCATCATGGTGCTAATGGGGCAGGTTCATGCTGTGGAATGCCGATTCTGGGCTCGGGAAACAAGCACAGACTGGTGGGACCACATAGCGTTGCCCGTCTGGGACGATTCCCAGTGGCTGCGAAACTTTCGCATGCGTAAGGGCACTTTCATGGAACTTTGTGATTTGCTTTCCCCTGCCCTGAAGTGCATGAATACCAGGATGAGAGCAGCCCTCACAGTTGAGAAGCGAGTGGCGATAGCCCTGTGGAAGCTCGCAACGCCAGACAGCTACCGGTCAGTTGGGAATCAATTTGGAGCGGGCAAATCTACTGTTGGGGCTGCTGTGATGCAAGTAGCCCACGCAATCAAAGATCTGCTGATGTCAAGGGTAGTGACCCTGGGAAATGTGCAGGTCATAGTGGATGGCTTTGCTGCAATGGGATTCCCTAACTGTGGTGGGGCCATAGACGGAACCCATATCCCTATCTTGGCACCGGAGCACCAAGCCGCCGAGTACATAAACCGCAAGGGGTACTTTTCAATAGTGCTGCAAGCTCTGGTGGATCACAAGGGACGTTTCACCAACATCAACGTGGGATGGCCGGGAAAGGTACATGACGCTCGCATCTTCAGGAACTCTGGTCTGTTTCAAAAGCTGCAGGAAGGGACTTTATTCCCAGACCAGAAAATAACTGTTGGGGATGTTGAAATGCCTATATGTATCCTTGTGGATCCAGCCTACCCCTTAATGCCATGGCTCATGAAGCCGTACATAGGCAGCCTGGACAGTAGTCAGGAGCTGTTCAACTACAGGCTGAGCAAGTGCAGAATGGTGTAGAATGTGCATTTGGACGTTTAAAGGCGCGCTGGCGCAGTTTACTGACTCACTTAGACCTCAGCGAAACCAATATTCCCACTGTTATTACTGCTTGCTGTGCGCTCCACAATATCTGTGAGAGTAAGGGGGAGATGTTTATGGCAGGGTGGGAGGTTGAGGCAAATCGCCTGGCTGCTGGTTACGCGCAGCCAGACACCAGGGCGGTTAGAAGAGCACAGGAGGGCACGGTACGTATCAGAGAAGCTTTGAAAACCAGTTTCATGACTGGCCAGGCTATGGTGTGAAAGTTCTGTTTGTTTCTCCTTGATGAAACCCCCCGCCCCTTGGTTCACTCTACTTCCCTGTAAGCTAACCACCCTCCCCTCCTCCCTTCGATCACCGCTTGCAGAGGCAATAAAGTCATTGTTGCTTCACATTCATGCATTCTTTATTAATTCATCACACAAATAGGGGGATGACTACCAAGGTAGCCCAGGAGGGGTGGTGGAGGAGGGAAGGAAAATGCCACACAGCACTTTAAAAGTGTACAACTTTAAAATTTACTGAATGCCAGCCTTCTTTTTTTTGGGCAATCCTCTGTGGCGGAGTGGCTGGTTGGCCGGTGGCCCACCCACCGCATTCTTGGGCGTCTGGGTGTGGAGGCTATGGAACTTGGGGAGGAGGGCGGTTGGTTACACAGGGGCTGTAGTGGCAGTCTGTGCTCCAGCTGCCTTTGCTGCAGCTCAACCATACACTGGAGCATACTCAGCATTGAATCCTGCCTCCTCTCATCATGCTGCCGCAACATTTCAGCTTCAGCCCTGTCTTCAGCCCGCCACTTACTCTTTTCAGCCCGCCACTTACTCTCTTCAGCCTGCCACCTCTCCTCCCGGTCATTTTGTGCTTTCCTGCACTCTGACACTATTTGCCTCCACGCATTTGACTGTGATCTGTCAGTGCGGGAGGAAAGCATGAGCTCGGAGAACATTTCATCTCGAGTGCATTTTTTTTTCTTTCTAATCTTCACTAGCCTCTGGGAAGGAGAAGATCCTGTGATCTTTGAAACACATGCAGCTGGTGGAGAAAAAAAAAGGGACAGCGGTATTTAAAAAGACACATTTTTATAAAACAGTGGCTACACTCTTTCAGGGTAAACCTTGCTGTTAACATTACATACATAGCACATGTGCTTTCGTTACAAGGTCGCATTTTGCCTCTCCCCACCGCGTGGCTACCCCCTCAACCCTTCCCCCTCCCCGTGGCTAACAGCGGGGAACATTTCTGTTTAGCCACAGGCAAACAGCCCAGCAGGAATGGGCTCCTCTGAGTGTCCCCTGAAGAAAAGCACTCTATTTCAACCAGGTGACCATGAATAATATCTCACTCTCCTGAGGATAACACAGAGAGATAAAGAACGGATGTTGTTTGAACGCCAGCAAACATACACTGCAATGCTTTGTTGTACAATGATTCCCGAGTACGTGTTACTGGCCTGGAGTGGTCAAGTGTCCTACCATGAAGGACGCAATAAGGCTGCCCTCCCCAGAAACCTTTTGCAAAGGCTTTGGGAGTACACCCAGGAGAGCCGCGAATGCCAGGGCAAAGTAATCCCTTCACATGCTTGCTTTTAAAGGGATAGTATAGTATTTTAAAAGGTACACTCACCAGAGGTCCCTTCTCCGCCTGCCGGGTCCAGGAAGCAGCGTTGGGTGGGTTCAGGGGGTACTGGCTCCAGGTCCAGGGTGAGAAACAGTTTCTGGCTGTCGGGAAAACCGGTTTCTCTGCTTGCTTGCTGTGAGCTATCTACAACCTCATCATCATCATCATCTTCTTCGTCCCCAAAACCTGCTTCCGTGTTGCCTCCATCTCCATTGAAGGAGTCAAACAACACGGCTGGGGTAGTGGTGGCTGAACCCCCTAAAATGGCATGCAGCTCATCATAGAAGCAGCATGCTTGGGGCTCTGACCCGGAGCAGCCGTTCGCCTCTCTGGTTTTCTGGTAGGCTTGCCTCAGCTCCTTAAGTTTCATGTGGCACTGCTTCGGGTCCCTGTTATGGCCTCTGTCCTTCATGCCCTGGGAGATTTTGACAAAGGTTTTGGCATTTCGAAAACTGGAACGGAGTTCTGATTGCACGGATTCCTCTCTCCAAACAGCGATCAGATCCCGTACCTCCCGTTCGGTCCATGCTGGAGCTCTTTTGCGATTCTGGGACTCCATCATGGTCACCTCTGCTGATGAGCTCTGCAAGGTCACCTGCAGCTTGCCACGCTGGCCAAACAGGAAATGAGATTCAAAAGTTCACAGTTCTTTTCCTGTCTACCTGGCCAGTGCATTTGAGTTGAGAGTGCTGTCCAGAGCGGTCACAATGGAGCACTCTGGGATAGCTCCAGGAGGCCAATACCGTCGAATTGTGTCCACAGTACCCCAAATTTGACCCGGCAAGGCCGATTTAAGTGCTAATCCACTTGTCAGGGGTGGAGTAAGGAAATCAATTTTAAGAGCCCTTTAAGTTGAAAGAAAGGGCTTCATCATGTGGACGGGTGCAGGTTTACATCGATTTAACACTGCTAAATTCGACCTAAAGTCCTAGTGTAGACCAGGGCTAAAGGTGTGACATCAATGCATATAAATTAAAGTGAGTTAAAATCCTATGTGAATGCTCTCATTCTGTGCAACTGTGCAGCAGAATTCTGGATACAGTCTCTGTGGATGGCACATTGTTGCATCCGTTTGTAGTACGAAATTGACCACAAAAGGATGTTCATAGATTTAAAGGCCAAAAAAGTTTCTGAATCTGATCATCTAGAATCCTTGAAGGAGGCTTAAATTACAGAGAATTAAGGCCATATTACTCCTAAGCATCTACATGAGGGTTTAACAAACCTGAATTTCTAAGCATTGACTTCACACTTTCAGTAGATTCATGTTAACTTTCCTGAATATCCGTAGGTAGACAGGCCCTAAATTATAGTTACAGTGAATTTTTAAAAAACGGAAACTACAGAGTACTTTCACCTAATCTCCCAGCTGATCCAGTGTGTCAAAGCTACATTCCACCTTGCTCTGCCACTCACGCGCCTTTGACTTCATTGCCTTAATTCTCATACCAGGCCCCCACCACCACAAAGTGTGTTCCCGCAGAATCTGTCCCCGGATTCATTCAGGATTATATTCAATATGGCTAAGCAGGTTCAGTTTCTGTTTTCTTGTTCCTGCATCTTATAACCCTTGAAGGTAGGTCCAAAGAATGGAGTACTTTCAGTTCACATTTACAATCCCCCATCCTCTGCTGTCCCCCACCAATGGTGTTAACCTTACAGACAGCTCAGGTCTCCTTTGCTTATAATATTTGAAGAGATGGGGATCACAATTCTTAGACTTCTCATTTGACATTATGTTTTATATTAAATGTGACAGAGCAAAAAACAATCTGCCACACTCACTCTGTTAATCGAACGCACAAGCAAACATAGGTCAACAGTTTCAATGTGCACATGCAACATGGGGGGGGGGCAAATCCCTGTGAATTAGAATTCCATGGACAGTTAATTTTCCTCGGCTGAATCTTGCGTGCTATATTACACATTTTAGCAATTTTTGGTGGTTCAATTTACAGCTCATCAGTTAAGAAAAATGTTTTAACAAAACTGGCAAGTTACATTTTAAAATACATTTTTACAGAAATCAGAACCGGAAAAGATTTATGAGGTCAACTGGCCTATTTTGTTGCCAGACTTTCCTGACAATCTACTGTATCCTACAGCAGTTAGTGCGGTTTTCAGTGACTCAATAAATGAGGCTTCTCCCAGTTCCCTTGTGTGACAAAGTGCAATAGATTAAGCCATTAAGAAACTTTCCTTCATATTCAGCTTAAATTTTCTTTAGTATAATTTTTTCACATTATACTAATTATGCCTCATTGAAATACACTAAACAATTCCTCTCCCTTTTTGGTATTTACATCATTCAGATGTAGATAAACAATTAGTCGTCATTAGCCAATATTTAGGGGTTGTTTTTTTTTTTTTTATAAATCTTTCCTCGTAAGTCAATTCCTTCAGCCCCATTAATCAAGGTTTAGTTTACTTATTTTCAGTGTATAACAGCATTCTGGTGTCAGATGCTTTATCTTATCCCAGATGCTTTTCAGTAAGAAGAAAATGATCCAATACTACTCACTTCAATGTTTTTCTATTTTGAAAAAAAAATACACTAACTGGGGGAGGAGGGGTTCCATTTGCCCTTAGTTTGACTTCACTACAGTCCACATTAACAGGAACAGCAGCTAAACCTTCTTTGAAACTTTATTCACCATAGCTAGAAAAAAAGAGCCGGTGAAATTCCTTTAAAACATGCTTTAATCTAGCTGGAATGCCATAAATTGCTTCCAGATGTGCTCCATACAAAAGTCAATCATAGCTATTTATACTGACGCTCTGCAGTCCAAACAATCTGAATCCAAATGCCATGTCTCCGCTACAATAAAGCTATAAATGTCAGTTTTGTTGAATTTGGAGAGGTGTTGAAGAGTTCATGCTAGTTTGCTTTTGAGCTATTTGTAAGCCAGCAATTTTAAAAAAAGGAACTTTTTTTTAATAGACCCGGTACTTGTTGAGCAATTCTTAAAGCACACCTGACACCTTCCAATTATGACCTTGAAAGTGCCACAGGTTACAAGTTGAAATTCATTTCACAAGTTAGAAAAATGTAGCACTTAGGCAGGGAGCCAAGAAAAACTGAAGCACTTGGCAGGACTCCCATGCTCTCTCTTAGACCGAACACACACATAGTACACCTGGGACTAAATGAACTACAGTACAATGAAGCGACACAATCTCACTGTAATACTACTTCTATTCAAGAAGCTTCCAAAGTATGGGAAAAAGCATCTCCTCTCGCTACAAAAAAAAGGCAGTGAGGAAATGGCCAGTACGTCCCTCGGCCCGCGCCGCTTCCAGCGGCTCCCATTGGCCTGGAGCAGCGAACTGCAGCCACTGGGAGCCGTGATCGGCCGAACCTGCAGATGCAGCAGGTAAACAAACCGGCCGGGCCCGCCAGGAGCTCTCCCTGCATAAGCAGTGGAACAAGTTTGAGAACCACTGCCCTAATCAATTGTTTTCCATGCAAAATAGTCAGTGTTCCTCACCTGGAAAAATTATATAACCAACATTCAGATGAAACAATGACCTACGATATTATTTCACACTATTTCAGAAAAGTACATAATTTATGTATATTTTGCACAGAATTTTCTGGTTGGTTTCCTAGGCTTCATTATGAAACATTTTTTCTAGAAATCTGAATCTATAGTTTGATCTCTGTAGAAATGTTCAGAGTTTTAATTTTGGGATTTTATCTGTATAGGGAGGTGGGGAATTTTCTCACCTTTTGCTTCTAGTTTGAAGAGTTTAAAATGTTTAGGAAAGACATGATAAGTAATGACCCTGCAAGTACTGTTATTCTGCAACTTCCTTGTCCTTTATTTTCCTTTCCTCTGCTTTTTCATCCCCTCCTCCAGTTTTCCCTTTTCTGCCACTATTTTTTGCCCTTCCCAAGGGCAGAACAATTCCTTACAAGGCCTTTGCTTCCTTCTAGGTGGAGCCTTAACACTAAGGTCTTGTCTACACAACACAATTAAGTCAACCTGTGTTAGGTCGACATACATCCCCTGCACTAATTACTGCGATTTTTCATGTCCATACAATGCCAATGGTGCACACCCTCACCAAGAAGTGCTTGTACCAATTTAAGTGGGATAGTGTGGGGGGCTGCGAGCTCGGCATAGAGCTCCCAGCGGGGTGCCCGGCTGCCCAGTGCCGAGAGCCTAGCCTGTTGGCTCAGCATGAAGCTCTCAGCTGTATTATCCAAACAGTGCTTAATCCTTTCTTATAAATAAGCATCTCACACTTACAGCCCTCGTGGTTTACACTGTCAATTATACATGTATTAATGATTCCCAATAATACAAATTGATATGATCAACTATAACATACCTGAATCAGTGATTGCCCACTCTGGTCTCAATGATACACACAACAAAGGAATCTTGGACCCTTCCATTCAAACTACTTTCTTCTTTCTTTGCTTTTATTTTTAAAAAACTGGTAAAAAGAAAAAAGAAAAATATGTTTGAGTAATGTTACGTTTTAGATACAAATCCAGAAGAGACCATGGAAACTCATAATTAGACTCTCAGACATTAAGGGACCATCATGATCACTTAGTCTGACCTCCTACACATTGCAGGCCACAGAACCTTACCCACCCACTCCTGTGATAGACCCACAACCTTTGGCTGAATTACTGAAGAACTCAAATCATGACTTAAAGACTTCAAGTTACAGAGAATCCACCATTTACACCAGTTTAAACCTACAAGTGACCCATGTCCAGTGCTGCAGAGGAAGGCAAAAAAAAAACAACAAACTACAGGGTGTCTGCCAACCTGACCCAGGGGGAAATTCCTTCCAAAACTCAAACATGATGATCAGTTAGACCCTGAACACGTGGGCAAGACCCACCAGCCAGACACCTGGGAAAGACTCATCTGTAGTAACTCAGAGCCCTCCCCATCTAGCATCCCATCACCAGTCGCAGATCAGCTACATGCCATTGTAAGCACTCTCATCATGCCATCCCCTCCACAAATTTATCAAGCTCAGTCTTGAAGCCAGTTAGGTTTTTTGCCCCCACTGCTCCCCTTGGAAGGCTGTTCCAGAACTTTACTCCTCTGACGGTTAGAAATCTTCATCTAATTTCAAGCCTAAACATGTTGATGGTCAGTTTATATCCATTTGTTTTTGTGTCAGCATTGGGGCTTAATTTAAATAACTCTTCTCCCTCCCTCGTATTTAGTCCTCTGATGTATTTATAGAGAGTAATCATATCTCCCCTCAGTTTATTTTTTGGTTAAGCTGAACAAGCCGAGCTCTTCGACTCTATTTTATAAGGTAGGTTTTCCATTACTCTGATCATCTAGTAGCTCTTCTCTGCACCTGTTAAGGATTACATTCCCACTCTACCTTGCTTTATTCAGTGTTTATATCAGACAATGGAATTTTTCTAGGGTGCATCACACTGCGCCAATACAGCAATAATTAAATCTTCCAGTGAAAGCTAAGGGAGCTGCCTAAGGCAATGCAGAGAAGCAAGTGCCACACTATAGTAGTTCCAGTATATATTTCTGACCCAGTCTCCTTTTACATTTCCCTTGCCCTTTCCACTTTGCCAATGATGTCAACCTTGGTACTCCTTTT